CGAATTGTTTTTTTTGAGTTCTCTCCGCATCGCACGTCGGCCCCTCGTTTCTACTTCCCCGCCGCGCCTCCAACGGCGACGGCTGGATGCGGACCCGGTAGGTCCCACACGCACGCGAGGCCCACAAAGGCGTCAGACGCGGGCGCGGCAGCGCCAAGCAAACACCACAGCAGAGTTTTTTAAAAAAAAGGGCAAAAGAAAGAAAGAAAGAAAGTACAAAGCAGCACACGCAGTGGCGCATCTTCGCCCACGGGCGCATCTTCCTTGCCTGCCTGCGGTGGCAGCGGCTGCTGCTGCCATCGCACACACACACACACACACCACCACCGCTACCGCCACCAACCTTAATTTTCCTTTTCTTTTAAACGGCATCTCATTTTCTGGAGTACTTCTACATCTGCGTCTCCCCCTCGCTGCCCGTCTGGGGTGGCAGCGTCACTGACGGATGGTTGTGAACATCATGACCGTGCGTGGTGAAACCACATGCTTCAGCGCCTCGCGATCGGCGGGATCGGCCCACAAGAGCACACCGAGGGGCTGACGCCGGCTCAGTGCAGCGTCGCTAGCAGAGAGACGGACAGGCGTGTCGGCAAGTGTTCCCTCCTGCAGGAGCCCCTTCAGCGCCACCCACACCACCGACGGCAGCCGCGCCGTTTCCGGCAAAATCCACACGTGACACGTCGGCTCCGCGGCAGACGCCGGCGCACGACGGCGTTCTCGGCGTCGCTGCGCTGACGCCATCAGGCCCCTGTCTCGTATCCTCCAACCCCCAGGCACGTCATTCGCGGCGTCCTCCTCGAGCCGCCGACGCAGCAGCTCCACCGCGGCGGTGTCGTTGTGGGCGTCAGGGAGCTCCAGTTTGTGGAACGAAACGCAGTTGACGTACTTGGCCTGCCAGGGGTCGAGAAAGGCGGCGACGTAGGCGGGGGTGGCGCGCCAGTGCAAGCCAACAAAGAGACTTTTGCGGTGCAGCGCCCCGAGAAGGGCGTTGTCCGCGAACACGCCGGTCAAACACTCGCAGGGCGAGGACCCCGCGTGGCGCGGGGGGCCCACTCCCCAGAGGTCATCCCCGTAAATCAGCACGAGGGCAACGAGCACGGCGAAAGCTGCACCCACCACCGCCAGGCGCGACGGCATCCGCTACAGGCTCTCTCACGTAGAAACGCACACACACAGAGGGATAAAGAAAGAATAAAAAAAGAACACAAAAAAAAAACGAAACGTTACGACTGGCCGGACGGGGAGAAGAAAGAGGCAGAATACATGCAGCGGAGCAACACAGCGGAAGGGAGTAAGCCGCGGGTGCGAGCAGAATCCATTTTTATGTACGTGTGTGTGCGGGCCGTGCGTCTTGCTTCTCCCTCTCGCTCCGCACAGGTGGAAAAGGAAGCGGTGGCAGCGGTCGCAGGCCCCACGCACCCACTCACAAATCCCCGTTAAGAGTGTACGGGCCTATGCCCCTCTCAGCAAACTCCTCTGCTTTCCCCTCCCCAGGGCGATCGGCGGTGGTGGCGGCGGCAGCGGCAGCGGCAGCAGCAGCCCCGCCAGGCCCTGCAGCAACCCCCGAGTACCCAATGCTGCGTGTGTCAGTCTGGTAGCGCTCCGCGCCGGTGCTGAGAACTATCTTCGCCGTCAACTCATCAAGGCGAAAATAGGCCCAGACGACCGTGTCGTGGCCGTGTTGGTCAAAATACTGCAGCAGGAGCGAGATTAGACTGTCCTCTACGGCGCGCCGCAGCGCATGCCCATTCTCCTTTCCCTCCCACGTCTCACGGTGCCGCTCCACGAGGAAGGCGACCGCCAACTCATCGATACTGCTCGCGACAACCGCACCACCGTCGCTCCAGTACCTCGTGCACGGCAGGGCGGCCACGGCCATTTGAACCAGCTTCTCCGCGTCTCGCCTGGAGAACGCGGCAAACAACATGGTTCGGGTAAAGGCAGAGGTGAGTGTGCCGTAAAGACCAGCAAACTCGTCACGAACCAGCTGCTCAACCTCCGCCGTGCTTTTCCCCCACGTGCGTCCCTGCTGCCCAAAGTCTGTGGTGACCACAACCAGCAGCTGGGCGAGGGAGGGAGTGCCCGCGGGCTGCTCCTCAAAGCGTTCCGCGCGTCCAAGCAGTGGCGCGAGGGCAGCCACGAGTTTGGGGTGCATCGCCGTCAGGTCGTCAAGCAACACAATGCCGTGCGGGTAGGCCTTCTGGTGCGCCGTCACGCGTTGCATGATGCGCAGCCGTGCGTCCGCGACGGGCATCCCATCAAAGCCCGTACCGGAGATGACAAGCATGTTGTCACCCATGTCGCACGCGGGGCGGGATGGGGCGCAACGCAGGGAGGTGGCGAGGGACAACAGGCGTGCGGTGTGTGTCTTGCCAACCCCGTTGTCGCCTGCAAAGTGCAGGACGAGTGGATCCTGCGGGTAGGACAACTTCCGCCGCACCGCCTCTAAAATGGCCCCCTTCACGTGCTCCTGCCCCGCAACCCGCGTCAGCAGCAGCTCCTCCACATCCTTCATGACGCGCTGGCGCAGTGCCTCATCCTTTGCGAGCGCAAACTCCCGCCGCACCAACGCCGCAGGGAGCGCCGTCAGGACGCAGTGGCGCAGACGGAGGAGCAGCGGGGTGCCGCGGGCGGCGCAGATGGGGCAGCGGGGGCAGCGCCACTCCACCAGCTCCACCTCCGCCGCAACAGAAGACGGCCGCAGCGGTGACGCGGGGAAGATGAGGAGAAGCAAGATCAATGCAGCAACCACCGTCGCTACGGCAGAGACACCGCGTGGGGAATGACGTCGGGCAGGCATGACGGCAAACAGGAGCTAAGAAGCACCGAGCTCCCCGTCGCCACAACCACCACCACCACCACCACCACACACGCACAGAGACGCCCTTCGCTCCTCCACTTCACCGCAGTCCTCAACGTTTATTTGCCGCTGCACTGAGCCGCGGTGATCCTATGGTACTTGCCTGAGCCCCCCACCCCCCACCCCCAACCACACACACACACAGAAGCACAGAAGCACAGATGTAAGTGCTGCTTGATGGTCGTTGCCGCCGCCCGTTAAAGGCAACAGCAGGGCAAAAAAAAAACACAACAACAGCAAAGAACTAATCCCAAGAAAGAAAGAAAAATTTAAATACAATACACAGGCAGGGCACGCACGAGAGAAGGTTGACAATACGACGCCAAGGGCCTCAAGGAGCAGGAGCAAGAAAAAAAAAAGACAAAGAAGGGGAGTTGTAATGTGCTGGTGCATATTTATAAATATGAGTCTGTCTCGCTGTGTGCGTGTATGCCGCTTTTATTTGGGCGGCCCCTGCGGAGGGCCAAAATAAGGGCCGCCGGGGTTCGCGCTCTGCTCCGCGTTCGCCACCGAGTTGCTTGCGATGCCGCCAATGCTGTTCCACACGCCGCGCGCGGCGTCGCGTCTGCCAAACTTGGCGCGACCGCCCTTTCGTCGCGCAAGCTGTGCGCGGCGGAACCACACCGCCTGCTCCGTGACGGCGTCCATCACGCGCTGCTGCTGTCGCGGCGGCACACCGCCGTGAATGCCAGACGTCTGCGGGTGAAACAGCGGGCGCCAGGTGGCGTTGTGGTGCAGGTACGTCCGCTCCAAGTGGGCGGGAATTGTTTTTTGGGTGATGAGCGCGACGTACGAGCGGGCGATGGCGTTCATCTTGTGGGTGCGCCACTCCGCGTAGCGCGGGGTCATCATGTGCGACTTCCAGTTGCTCAGCCCCTCCAGCGGCAGGTTTTTCCGCAGGAAGGCCCGCACCGCGGCGACGATGACGCCTTGGTGCTTGGTGTACAGGCTGTAGACCCGGCCGAGGCGGCCCTGCCGTGCCGTGCGGCCGGCGCGCGAGAGGTACACCGGCGCGTTGGTGGGCATGTCAAAGTTCACCACCACGTCCACGTGGACGTCCAGCCCACGCGCGGCGAGGTCGGTGGCGCAAAGAATATTCGTGCGGCCGGAGGCAAAATCGGCGAACATCCGGCGACGAACATCCCACGGCAAAGCGGCGTGCAGCAGGGAGCAGGCGAAGCCGTGCCCCCGCAGCTGGTGGTACACCGCCGTGGCGGCGTCAACGCCACGCGTGAAGACAATGACACGCTGCCCTTCGCCAAAGACTGTGCGGGGGATGTGGCACGTAAACGGGGCGGCGACGGTCGTGAGATGCTCCCAGCGCAGCGGGCGCACGCGCTCCAAGGCACGACGCGCCTCTTCTTTTTCGTCGTGGCTCACGTCCAGAGACGCGGCGGAGGCGGAGGCAAAACGAAGCGGCGTTACCATGCCATTGCGCCCGTCCAGACGGGGATGGGATTCGCCCTCTTCTCGCGCAACGTCCTTCCCCATCGCCGGCGCCGCACCACAGTGGCGTGCCTGCTGCCCTGGCGGCTCCTGTGGTGATGCATGTCGCAGCCGCTCCACAAACTCGTCGAGTGTCCCTGTCAAGTAGTGCGGCTGCGTGTGTGTCCGCAACTCATCCACGTCGGTGGCGATGGTGCGTGGCTGGTTGCCGTGCTTCTTCAGCACGTGCTGCAGGACGTCCATTTTCTCCTGCGCGCGCTGAACCGCAAAGAAGCGGTGGGAGAGCGTGTCCGGTGGGCGATGCATGCGCTGCCGCTGCAGGCACGTCACAGCCTGTGGAAACTTTTTGCCGACCACAAATTCGAGCTTCCGTGTGACGTAGGCGGTGGCGAAGACCGTTTGGGTCTGCACCGGCCACAGGTATTTAAACATCATCCGCTTTTGCACCTTCATGAGGAGGTGTACCGCGTCGTGGTCGTGCTGGGAGGAGAGCATCACATCCGCCTCATCCACGGCAACGTAGCGGATGTCGTCGAGAAACAATCGACGCGCGCGAATCAAACGCAGAACCACCTTTGGGTCCAGGATGACGACGTCCGCCAGCGTGTTCTTCAGCATCCGGCTCAAGTGGTGCTTGGCTCGCTTACGGGAGCTGAAGGAGACGGAGCGCAGACCGGTGGCAGCGTCTAGTGTGGCGCAGACGTGCTGCAGCTGCGCAATGAGCTCCCTAGTCGGGGCGAGCAGAATCATGCGAGGGCGGCGCTCGCGCAGCGGGATCTTGTACACGTCCCTGTCCTTCATCATATTCTGATACAGGGGAAGAAGGTAGGCAAGCGTCTTGCCCTCGCCGTGCGGCGCCGCCACCACGGTGTCTTTCCGCTGCAAAATCACCTCAATTGCCGTCTGCTGGATGGGGGACGGTGTGGTGACGTGCAGGCTCTGCGCCAGCGCCGCGCGCAGCTCCGGGGCGAGGAGCATGTCCTCGAAGCTTGCCACCGTCTTTGTCTTCACATTCGCCGCGAGCAGCGGGGAGTTGGCGGTGCGGGACGGGGAAAGGCTCTGCAGCAGCACGTTGCCGACGAGGTGGTCGGCGCGCTCTCCGATGGAGCGACTAAACGTGCCACCATACGCCTTGAGCTGCTGCGGCACGATGATGCCGCGCGCGGCGGTGAGGAGGGCGGCACTGCCCCGGCCAAAGGGGCCGCAGCCGCCGCCTGCAGCGACGGCGCTCCGCATTCCCACGGGCATCACCGCCGCGAGGGGGCGCAGCGCCATTGCGGCCGTCACGGGTGAAAATTATATATAACACAATGCAATATGCACCGCCTGCGCCGCCGCCCCCGCAATTGTCACACGTGTACTTCGCCCTCCTTCCTTCCCTCCGTCCTTCCGGCCGCGTGTGGGCGATGTGGGGGAGGAGACGCACCCACAAAAGCAAAAAAAAAAAAGCGGAATGGGAGGAGAAAAGAAAACACGTGCGCCACGACACCTCCTTCGCCACGGGTGCAAGTCCGCCACCTCAACCCCCGCCGCCCCTCTCAGTTCCTCCCTCCACTCCCCGGGGCACGCCTCAAAATAAATATGTAAGCTTCTTAAGGCGTCTGATCCCGTCCCTTTCTTTCACTTAATTTCTGGGGGGTTTACCGCCGTCCCTCCCCCACTCCCCCTTTTCCCCTCGCAGCAGACGCGCAAGCCCACCTGCACCTCCACATACGCACACACACTCACAGACACGTCCGTATGAAAACCAAAGCGAAACTGCGACGCAGCTGTGGGTGGGGGGTGGCTGCCGGCTGACGGTTTCAGCTGACGGTGGTCAGCGCCTTCACTGCCATCTGCAGTGCGCCGTCGTAGGTCTTGTTCCCGCCAATGAAGCCAGAGACGTGCACAAAGATGCCGCCGTCAATGCCGCTTGCCTGGCTCAGCTCCTCATCCCGCACGCCCCGCCAAGGCAGCGGCTTGCGGCACTCAAACCCGGACGCCACCGTCGGCACCGCCTGCACGCGCCAGCTTTTCTTGTCCGAGAAGAGCACGTAGAGGATGTGGCCCACCTTGCCGTGCTCCGCCTCCAACTCCAGCAGGTGATCCTTCCAAGGGCAGAAGCGGTCCTTGAAGACGACGATGCGGCCGCTGGGGTGCACATTCACGGCGGCAAGAAATGCCTCCTCGACAATCCTGCGCGCCGGCAGCCACGCAAAGGCGTGGTAGTGGACCGCCTCAAAAAACTCAACCGCCGCCAACTCAACCGCCCGCAGAAAGGCGGCACGCTCGCTCTCCACCAGGCCGTTCCCCTCCTCATTCCACCACGGCAGGAGGCGTCCGATGCGGTCTGAAAGCGTCGTCGAGACCGTGTACCGCCGCACACACGACGACGACGCGGCGGCGCCGGCGCCCTCCTCCCCTTTCACCTCGGCAGGGCCGTAGGCGTCGATGCCGTTGTCGATGCCGTCAATGTGCTCCAAGAAGTTCTTGTAAATGACGTCGAACAGGGTGTCGAGCTCCTGCTCCGACAGCTGTTTTCTGTCCGCCGCCCAGTTCGTGGCCTCCAGCAGCTTTGCGCGGTACGGGGAGGCCAAGGCGGACGCCACGTAGCTCTGAATAATCTCGCGCCCAAAGTGCTTGTACACGAGCCCCGCAGACGAGAGCCGGGTGTGGTAGGTCGCCTTTGGGGTTGTCATAGTGCCGTGAAACGAGGGCTGGTGGTGGTCAAAGCGCAGCGTCGCGGCATCGTAGACGCCGCCAACGTCCACCACAATGTTGCACTGCTCCAACGCACTCGGGTCGCGTGAGCGGAGGATACTTGACTGGGCAAAATTTGGGCTGCAGCGCAGCAGTCCACATGCCATGGCCTCATCGCAGTGAAAGGAGCCATTGTGCGTCCCAATGACACCCGTGACGGTGTTGTTTTCCACCAACGACTCCAGCACGCGAACACCACAGAGGTGCTTCGTCACGTACTCCGCAACAAACCGTCGCGGCATCTGCAACTGTGCGGGTGTGGTGCCGAGGCGTGGATTAAACTTTCCGTAGTTGACACGATTCCTTAAGCCTATACGTGTGTGTGTGTGTGTGTGTGTTTGTGCGTACTTGTAGTAGCTAGCAACTTCCTAGAGTGAGTGGCGTGGCCGGACGAGGACGGTCTACCGCTGCTTCCTCCGGCCCCCGCCACCACCACCAGGGCGCAAACAACCACGCACCCGTCGCATAGAGGGAGGAGGAAGAGGGGGCAAGAGTGCCGGGGGCAGGGAATCTCCTCGTGGCGGGGCGCCACGCTGCCGCCTTCGTGTGAAGGCAGACAAGCGGAGGAAACGGTTTACATTGTGCAGTGCAGACTCACCACCCCCCCCCACCCCGCACCCCGCCCTATTTACGCTTCTAAAAGATCCGCTCCACCGCCTCCCTCGTTCGCCGTGCCGCGTGCGGGTGAGCGGCGTCTTGAGGGCTTCGCTACAGTTTCTTCATCTGACTGCGTCACATGAACGCCGCCACCACGTCGTTGAAGAGCGTCTCAAACATCTCCGCCACGTGCAGGCCGGTGCAGGCGCTCACCTCGAAGTACTTGTAGCCGTGGCCCTCCGCCCACCGCCGCCCGTCCGCCTCGCTGACCGCCCGCTTCCTGCCGCCGTCGACCTCGTCGTCGACTTTGTTGGCGCACACCACCACCACCGGCGGCTTTGCGGCGGGGCGGGCGCTGACCGTCTCGCCGCCGCCACCGCCGCTGCGGGCGGCGTTCATGTACGTCTGCATCTCCGCCACCCACGCGTCAAGGGCGGCGAAGCTTGCGGCGTCGGTGACGTCGTAAACGATCAAGACGCCCTCCGCCGCGTAGTAAAACTCGTTGCGGATCTCCAGAAACTCCTCGCTGCCGGACATGTCCCAGAAGTTCACGCGAACAAAAAAATTGGGCGGCGCGGGCGACATGTGCGCCGGTGCCCGCACCCCCACCCGCTTCACCCCGTAGTCAATGCCAATTGTGGGGATGTACTTTGCCACAAAGCGCCCCTCGCAGTATCGCTTGATGACGCAGCTCTTCCCCACCCCCAGGGAGCCAATGGAGATAATTTTAATCCGCGGCTCCACCCCGCCGGCGACGGAAGCGGAAGCGGAGGCGGAAGAAGAATGGGTGGGCCTCGTCTTTGCCATTTCTAAGCCTGTGTGTGTGCGCGTGTGCGTTTCTGACCGGCCTTCCTTAGGGAAAAAGGAACAGGCGGCAGCAGG